CGCCCAAAAAGTTCAAGATACCGAAAATAGGGAGCGGTTCTTTATATGTCAAAACATGGTCCTGTATTGAACATTTTCTGAAAAGATGTTTTTCGCACTCCAGGAACCCTAAATGCAAAATCACAGACCCTTCGGTAGGAAAATAAGGCCAAACCCTTTAATAATCCACATTTAATTTCTTAGGAACAACAATATTCCTCAGAAATTAAAGCTTTGTTGGGAACTTAAATAAAAATTCACTCATTTGATGGTCCTTAACATTTATTTATACCTTGTTGATTTTTTAAATAATATTTTTTTTTAAATACATGCATATTGATTTTCAAATTCTTCAAATATGTTACAGTATTTTATTACTTCATAATGTATAACACGATGTCTATAACCCGAACCCTTAACAATGCATCCTGTTTTCAATGAATGAACATAACTAAATCATTATAGAATTTTATTCTGATCCAATATTCTTTATGGGATGCCGAAAAAATCAAACCTTTTATGATAACCATTAGATAAAAAATAAAATCCCGATTTTTCAGCAATATCGTAAATTTTCAAATTTATCAACCAATTTTAATTTCCAAAAAAAACTATCCCCAATCAAAAAAAAAAAATCCTTAAAATACCTAACGAATACCCTTTAGCGTACAATGTTACGATAACTGTTTAAACTATTTCAAGTTAGATAAACTGCTTTAAATCGTAATGAAATTTAGCACTTTAACAAAGTTACCTCCTTTGTTTGCCAAAGGGGTGGCGGGGTCGTCTCAATTGTTAATGGTGTGGCCGAGGAAGTATGACCCGTAAATTAGTGAATGTGAATAAAGATGAAGCGTAAATTAAGCCAAGAGTGCTGGCAACGAATCCCTGGCCAAATGTACAAGAAAACCTTTCCTACACACACACACCACACCCATACACCAACAGAATGCATTATAATTAACGTAATTATTAATAACAACATCATTATCAATAGACAAGACCAAGAAGAAGGCAGTCTACAATGCCAGCAGCAGCAGGATGAAAGCTAAGAAAACTTTAATGTAGACCAAGGAGGTTGAAAAGTTGAAGGAAAGATGTAAAAAGTCCACCCAAAACCCAAGCACAGACACACACACATTTCACACAAGCATACGATTTTCAACGAATTCCTTTCTTTCTTCACGAGACTTTTAAAGTTTCAACATTTTGCCTTTAAAATGGCCAAAGTACCGGTCGGTTGCCGTCGTTAAAAGGAATTTTACTTTTAGAACTGCTGGCTGGCTGTTCCTGTCCATTTCTCGGCCATTATTGCGGAAGACACTTTAGACAGCCAAACGTAGACATCTCAAGGAAAGGTATGTGTCTGTGAAAAATCTACGGGCGAATGGGGAAAATGATTGTGAGTGTCCGAATATGTAGACGCGTATGAATATGTTTTAGGAGGCAGATTGTTTGTGTGTGTGTGGGTTTGTGGAGGAGTAGGGGTTTTTAGATGTTGGTGTTTAAATTTCTACTAGACTTATGTTAGACATTAAGATACGAAGACATACAACAAAAAACCTAAATGCATAACAATTTAGAAAATCAGGCACTGTGTTTTAGAGAGGGAAATACGAAGAAGCGAAGGTTTCTGTTTGCAGAAAAAATCTGATAGAGGCCTTCAAAAACACAGGAAGGATTTTTTGATTATGAAGGCCGAACTTAAAAAGACCAGAAGAGAGTATTTTAGCTGCAGAAGATGGACAGAGTACCTTCTAAAAAGTTGATAAAAACAACATTCAGGTACAGAAATTCAATAGAAGACCTCCTAGCACAAGAGGATCTTTAGTATAAGAAGATCAAATAAGATTTGATTTTTTAAGAATATTTTTCCGAATAAACGTTGATTTCTAAAAACAACTGTAGACGTTTAGGAATATTTTTTTTTGTAAAGGTCAATATGAGTGAAATTTTTAAGGAAATTTTGTGAGGGACAAATAAGATTTTTTAAAATATTTTTTAATTCCTATTTAAAAAAGTGTAAATGTATTATGAATATTTTTTAAACAAATCAGATTGAATTTTATAAGAATTATATGAGTGTATTTTTTAAAACATTTATACCAGATCGTAACATTTTTAAGATGTTTTTTAATTACCAATAAGCAAGTAATTTGTTGTGGTCTCTAACGGATTAAGAATAAAGTCTATATCGATTTAACTACGTCCATACGACTCTCTGCTGAAATTACGATTGAGCGCATAATATTTAAAATAGACCTGTAAAAATTTTTACATCAATGCAACTATTCCTTGCACTCCATTAGTTCAATCCGAATTTTCCAACCTGTAGTTGTCCTGTTTGCAATTTGTTAATTCCTTCATAGGTTCGTGTTTTTACATAGTATCTTGTGTAGAGTATAAAAGAATACCTCCTGGTAAGAATACCTCCTGGTTTTCGAATACCTGTATGTATTCTATAAAATGAGGTCCAGGTTTTCGATAAGAAGGCCTCCAGATCTTCGATAAAAACGAGCTTCAGCTATTCGATATGAAGAACTCCAAGTCTTCGATAAGAAGATCTCCAGGCTTTCAAAAAGAAGAGCTTCAGGCCTTCGATAATAATACGTCTTGCTCTTCGATAAGAAGTACTCCAGGGCTTCCATAAGAATACCTGCATGTCTGCTATAAGAAGAGGTACAGGTCTTCAATAAGAAGAGCTCCAGGTCTTCAATAAGAAGAGCTCCATGTATTCTATTATGCTATAAGAAGAGCACCAGGTCTTCCATAAGAAGAGTTCACGGTCTTTGATAAGAAGACCTGCATGTCTGCTATAAGAAGGGGTACATGTTTTCGATAAGAAGGGCTTCCGGTCTGCTGTAAGAAAACATCCAGCTCTGATATAAGATGCTTATCGATACAAGACGAATAGAATGTCTTCTATCATCACAAGTCCAATAGAATGTCTTCTATAGAAAAACTTCAGTTTGAGAAGATTTCACTCGTTTAAGAGCGTTAGATCGTTATTTATGGTAAGTAAGATCGTTAAAGGGCGGATAAGACGGATAGGAAATAATCGAAGGACCAATAGAAATTCTCCTATAGAAAAACTATTGCATTATTACGAAGACTGAAAACAATAGATCATCCTACCCACTGTCTAAAGAATCATCACTTTAACAAAAATTTCATTTTTTTCTCCATCGTCATAAAACTTTAAGGTAACGACATTGGGTGAGGGTGAAATTAAATTGATAACAAATGAAGCTTTAAAGACATACATACATATAAATATTAAATAAAAAATACCCACATAGAATAAGTTACAAAAGGAAAATCAAAAACAAAGACTAAACATTGCCATTAACAGCAATTTTCAAGCCAAAACGGAAGGGGGAAAATTAAAAGGGGTTTTCCGGGACGTTTATGTTGGAAAACGTGTTATAAAACGTGTTTCAACGAAGTCATTAACATTTACGATACTCATACACTCAGACACATTCTAGCGCCCACACACAGATATAGTCTCAACACATATACTCGGTGAATGAGACTATTATCAGCTGTTCTTTTAAACAAATACAATGATGGTTTTTTTCAGGAAAGAAGAGGAAACGGAAATGTATAGGATTTGTTGTTGTTATTGGGAGGAAATAGATGTAAACACATACCCAATAAAATAAAGGATTAAATAAAATATATGTATTTGTTTCTCCCATCGAAAACATCTTCAGAAAATATCTACTTCAAGTAAATTATGTCAGTTACATATGTGTTAACATGATTGAACATGTTTACGTTTATATTTTTATAATACACACTGAAGCAGACAACACCAATAAAATACGGCAACGCATATCCGCCGTATTAAAACGGAAATTTAAAATTTATCTAAAATTTGTTCGGAATTTAATAGACAACCAATGTGAAATAGAAATGCCACCACTTCGCGTTTCCTTTCAATGTAAAAATCTTTGTAAAGATTTCTTTTGCTTTCTTCCTTTACACCATTGACAAATAAACAAAATAATTCAAGGGAGTTAAAATAAGCTCCCTCATTTTGTTTTCTTTCCATTTTGGATACAATGGAATGGATAGAGCGCATGTGCCCTTTTTTGCCAAATAATCCACAGAGTGAGTGAGTGCGTATGTGTGTGTTGTTGTTGGCCAAGGAATCTCCCCATTTTGGTAGTTTTCACTCATGACCAGAAAAAAGGGGAAGTACTCTGATATAATTCTCTCTCAAAGACCATGGCGTAGGACAATATGGCCCTTTGTACAACTAAGCCATGGCAAGGAAATGATTTCACAAACTCATCGTTTCGCATCTTTTTTTCTTCTATGTTGGCCAATTATCAAAAATATTTTCAACAGGATTTCCCCTCATTGTTTCCTGATGAGTGTGTGTGTGCCGTGGCCTATACAAATATCCTTTCTGGTCTCAATTTCAACTCCGAGGAACAACTGAACTTTACAAATTGTATTAATGCCAGAGGTCTGTAATCATTCAAGCATTGCGTTGCGTCCAAAACACGCCACAAAACGCCATTTTACAACGCACGTTCCATTATTGTCCTTTGAAGTAGATTATCGGCATCACAGTGTATGTGTGTGAGTGTGTTCATGGTGTCTATGTCCTTAGGTGGATGAAATAGACTAGCAAAGAAAAAACGACGGTTTATTTAAAACGTTAAGAAATCGACCTGCAAATCCTTACCAACCAACTACTTGCAAGTGAAAGCTACATAAGCAGCAATTAAAGCTTTAATGAACTGCTAAAAAAAACACTTTTTCAAAAATCCTTACCTGTGTATATGTAACAATGTGTGAGTGAGTGTGTGTTTAATAAACGTGTGTCACTTGACTGGAAAAAAACTAAACTCGTGTGTGAAAAACAGAGGAACTAAAATAAACCGACCGCAATTTTATGGACTTTTAAGAGCCGACTACACACAATTGTCCTACAAAAATAATGACATCCCAGCGATCGTAGACAAAAATAGTTATTGAATTTGGAATATATATAAGAATTCGAAGTCATGATTGAGGAACATCATCCCATGCAAATAGGAATGTGTAAGTATGTAATAAAAAATGTCCATATCGATAACATTGCCGACGGCAACTGTTGTTTCTTTTTTATAGGTTTACAATTCCGACGGAAAGTATTTTATATTCATCGCCGGATGTTAAAAAAAATAATTATATAATTATCACAGGATATTATATTTGTGTTTAATTGCTAACTACTTTCCCATTCATTCATGCAATCAAAGTACATGCCACACTTATTAAATAATATACAACATAAGAATCCAGAAGATAAAATTCGTTATATGTACAGTTTTTCAGTTATGGCTGATAAACTTTTTGCTGGCAACTCTAAAGTGCATGCAATGAAAAACGTTTATATCTCTGTAGGCCATTTTTGAGATAACATTACTCCAGTCAAATCGAATGATAAATATTTTTGCAAAGCATCTTGGGTCCTTATGTATCTTTTTTGTCCCTATCTTTTGAAGCGTAAACTAAATGCCATAAGAGATGTTTTCAATTCCGAAAATGCCGCTCATAAGATTTTTGATAGCTTGTATCGTCCTATTCGACGTTTACACAAACCTTATATATGGAAATGCTTGAATCGGATCTGCAGATAATAAACCCCTTTTTCTACTGGTTTGAAAACTAAAAACATTGTTAATCAAAAAAAATTCATTGCGCCATAACTCCAAATGTTGACATATCGCGAACCGATCCTTCTGGGTTCTTCATATACTCACCAAGGGCGTTCATCCCCATAACGAATTTTTCATACACAAACCATGAGCTATATTTTACGTCACAATGTAATCAAGATACCTAAGATAGATTGAGATGTGGCCTATATTGAAATATGGACGTTGTGAATAGTATGTCCAAGAAAACAGAATATCAAAAAAACGTGAACGAATATGTCCCGCATTCAATACCACTGTTGAAGTAATATCAATATATATGCAATTTTCAAAGTTCTATTTTAAATATTGCGATCTGTGGTGAAGGGTATTATGTATATGAGCATATGTTTGTATCAGGCAAAAGGAAACGAGATAGACACATGGTTCCTTTTGATAATATGCATAGAATCACTTTTTAAGTCGATTTATGTGTCCGTCTGTCCATGTTAAATTGTAAACAAAAAGCAGGTCGCATTTATTATCCGAATTGGATGAAATTTGGCACAGCTTATCTATTTGACCCAAGGACGAACCCTATTGAAATTGGAAAAAATTGGTTCAGATTTAGATGTAGCTCCCATATATATTTTCGTCCGATTTTAGGTAAAAAGTGCACCAAAGTACCTATATAACTTTCGATTTACACGAAATATGGCATAGCATACTAAATTAAGTGATGTGTGTTAAGATTCGTGAAAATCGGTTCAGATTTAGATATAGTTTCCTTATATATCCTTCGATTTACACGAAATTTGGCATAGCGTACTGAATAGCATAGCATACAAAATTAAGTCTAGAACGATGTGTGTTCAATTTCGTGAAGATCGGTTCAGATTTAGTTATAGCTCCTATATATATTTCCGACTTAAGGTAAATATATTTCGATTTGCATGATATTTGGCATAGCATACTGAATTAAGTCTAAAATGATGAGTGGTAAGTTTCGGGAAAATCAGTTAAAATTTCTATATAGCTCCCATATAAACTTTCATCCGATTTTATGTAAATGTTGCACCAAAGTCCCTGTATATCCTTGTATGTGCACGAAATTTGGCATAGCGTACTTACACTGACATGCAATTGTAAGAATACATATGAACAACATACCCAAAGTGGTGAAGGGTATCATATAGTCGGCCCAGTCCGACTTTACTTTCCTTACTGGTTTTAAAATATAGACTGAAGGGCATTGGAGAACTCATATACTTTATGGGGTCTCCATTTCTTTGGTCTGAACCAAACATTCAAGAACTCAATTAGACAAACATCTGATATTTCATAAAAGTGCATCTTTTTGAGAATATAAAAACCAGTATAGGAAGCCCAAAAGTCGAGCGGAGCCGACGACTATATGATACCGTTCACCACTTTGGATACATACAGAGATGCTCATACGTACAATATCCTGTCGATAGAACATACATAGCACCTTTAGAGGACATGGAATCGGACTAACTTAAATATGTGATCTACATCAATACAGTGATATTAACTAAATCAAAAACATGCCATTCTCAAATCTATGCAAAATTATATATGAATCGTGCACCATTACCATTTGTTGCAATCGAACAAAACTATATATGAGAGCTATATGTAAATCTGTACCGATTTAAAACAAATTTTACAGCAAAGCGTGAAGTCAAAGATTTTATCTAAATCGAACAAACGTTGGGTATTTAGGACACAATTTCATGAAATTGGACGAAAATATATAGGAGCTACATGTAAGTCTGGACTGAAACGAAACTTAATACATTGATTGTAGTTAGCTACGCTGTATAAAATTCCATATTATTCGGACAAACTTTGGGTATTTGTATATTTAAATGTGAAAACTATATCGAAATCCGAATAGGTATCAACAAAACTCATATTTGGTCTGTTCCCGTACAGCAAGAATCTGCTACTTTTTACTACGATAACGAATTTCCCTTTATGATATCGAAGAAAATAGTAAAATCGAGTAGATTCTTGCAGTACGGGAACAGACCAATTAATACGCCATGCGAAATTACGTCTCAGTCGGAAAATTCTTGGTAGTTTGGTGCATCATTTAGATAAAATCGGATCCGAATTCATTGAAACATCACACACTTTTTTGGAGTGACCACAATACGTAATTTACCATTTACATAAATTCGTAGGAAAATATATATGAGAGATATATGCAATTTAAACAATTTCAAAAAAAATTTGCATACGTCAATTTGTTCATAATTCATCGCGCTTTGCAAAATTTTGTCTCAATCGGACACTCCTTGAACAATCCTTTGAGACGATTTTCACACAAAATGTCTGTGGATTAATATATTTGGTTCTTAATTGGGTAGAAAATCTTCATGCGAAAATATATAAATTACACCTGGTACTTAGAATTTTGGGTACATTTTTTAACCGAGATGACTGTAATAAGACATTTTCCGTTCTTATAGGGTAACAAATCTCTTTACAAAAAATCAATCAATATGGGTTTACTTTTTTGGTTTTTTTTAGGTTTCTTAGGAAAAATTATATTCAATTGAAATTCGCTGAAATTAATTTTTTCTAGTGTGTTGTTGATTACAAAATTCTCATAGGAAATTCTGGGTATAAGTACATTTTTTTTTATATCCGAACTTGTATTGGACAGTACAATATAGTTTCCAGTGTGGTTGGAAACGTCATTGCATTTTTTAGTATTTCAAAATGTCCTGCATATTTTAATACAATTCGTGTCATACAATAATTAATTAAAGTACACCATATGATGTGACATTTTATCAATGCGGATTTATCCTACTCTACAATAAATCCCATTTAATTTAATTCCTGACCTTATACTATAGTTTGTGTTATAAACTAAACTATACCATATGGTAAAACAGAAAAACAAAAATCCTTTTCATTATAATAATACAGTTGCTAAGGATACAACTCTCTCTCTCTAAACTTCATATTACTATAAGGTGTTACAGTCATCACTTTTCGAACAATAAAAAAATCTAAACAGAAGTCAATCCTTCAATAGCTCCAAAAAAAATTTCCAGCAACGAAATAATACATTAAGCTGATCTAAATATCACGCAGAGTCATTGTCCTGTGATTCTGTGCTATCCATTCCCCGCTATTCTTTAATCTGATTAGAGTTCGCAATGGCATGAAGAGTACACCTGTTACGCACACTACTACCACATCTCGGTATTGCAGTATTACAAAAGAAATTCCGCATATGCCTTCAAAACATGACTTTGCATTACAACCAAAGATTTACACTTGTTCAGGGTAACAATATGTATGAGGCGAACAAGCCACCCTTGTTACGAGTATCGCACATACGACCATGTCTGCTGTCGTTGCTGCTGCCCTCCCTTTGCTTCACTCATACTTCGGACAATAATGATAAAACGTTTTGTTTACTAATTAGAAACTAATGTGCCAAGGGCAGACGAATTTGTAAATACAACGAACCAAATGAAATTATGTGGGCTAAAAGGAAAGATAGATGAACGAACAGCAAGGACGAACGTTAAACGTCTGGCATGGCAAATATGCAATGGAAAAAATCTGCTCTCTTCCAAGTACAATCAAACCCAAAACAAAAAGAACAAGGGGTAAAAAAGGAGATTTTCCTATATGGAAATATCCTCATCATCCTAATCGGCATTATCATCCCTTCCACTTAATCGCAAATTACCAACAATTTTGTTTGAGCGTTGAATTGAATTCAATGATCGATTGAAATAAAATTAAATCATTCAATGATTTCAGTCCGATGAACCCTCCTTCCGACCGACTACACACAGAGCAACCAAAAAAAAGGGATGGTGACTGGTTGAAATTCCATTCCGTTTGACTATGTTCAAGGAAATATCAAAAACAATACAACAACAAAAACATATGCCGCCAGATTTTGTTGGATTTGAATGGGAGAAATGCTGTAAAGTGAGTTGGGTTGGATGGTTTGCTTCTATTGTTCCCCTTTGATTTTTGTTGTTGTTAGCTTCCATTTCCAGTTGGTGCGTCAGTAGTGTCTGACGTGTGTTGTCATATCGATTTCATTTTAATCGGATTTATTTCATAATAAACAGTGTTGATAACAACAAGGACATCTACAAAATAAAGATTTGGACATAAATCCTTGAAAAAGTCAATGGGATATATTGTTGATAAGCAAATTCGACAGTATGGTCAAATTTTGTGGAAAAATAGTTTTGGAGAGGTGCTGTTTCAAAACTGTTTATAACTTCTATTAATGCGACAAGCGGTCTTAAATACGGAGGAACTTGTAATTTAGTAACTATGTTAAAACAAGGAGTTATGTTAACAATAAATATCTGACAGCGGCTTGGACTGGAGAATGTGGCTATAACATCGAAAACACATAATATGGCTAATATGGCTCTTTGGCATTGGTCCCAAAAATTATGGGGTCTAAAAACAATATATTGATGAGGCACATTTTTGCCGTAGCAAAAAATATTTTATATGTTTATACCATTTAACACACTGTAGTACAGGGCAAAGGAAACAGGCAAAAGGAAACGAGATAGGCCCATGGTTTCTTTTCAGAATATGCATAGAATCACTTTCTGAGTCGATTTATGCATGTCAGTCTATCTGTCCATGTTAAATTGTAAATAAAGTGCAGGTCGCATTTATTATCTGAATGAGATAAAATTTGGCACAGATCATTTATTAGGCCCAAGGACGAAGACTATTGAAATTGGTGAAAATCGGTTCAGGTTTAGATATAGCCCCCATATATATTTTCGACCGATTTTTTGGAAATGGTCACCAAAGAGTCAAATTTAGACAGATTGGCACGAAATTTTTCACAACGTACTGAAGTTAAGATAGCCTTACGTGACTCAAAGAAAAAGGTACAAATGTACCCGGTTATTGATCGTAGGCTAAGTCGGTTCACATATAGACATATATCACATATTTACTCCAATTACATGGCAATGGTCCTTCAAAAATGCGAGATCTATTAGCATACATTTCTTGAATGTAGCTTAAGTTGTAAAGGGTCCGACTTTACTATTTTCCTTACGGTTTTTTTACTTTTTAAATTTACTTACCTTATATTTTTTAACAAATTCGCCCTCATACTATTTAATATATTCCTGTTTTTAATTTATTCATAACTTCATATGGTGATTTAAGCACATCTAATGGCGAATAATTCGTTTAAAAAATAATTGAAATTATCATATAAATATTTCACATACCTGATTGATGTCGATGATATTTATGGCCAATGTCGCATATTTTCAATCACCAAATCATTATCCAACCATTACAGTATACATTCTGTAAATATATAATAGAAATATGCACATAAATACCAATAAACATAGTCCCAATTTATATTAGGCGAGTTTAGTTGCGGCAAGTCTTTGTTTGAAGGAGAGAGCGGCAAGGGGAATATTTTCCTTAAAAATTTACTTACAATTTTTTGGCAATTCGTTTTTTGAATTTTGTTTTTAATTTATTCATAACTTTAATTTAATACCTAATCCAGAACATTGTTTAACAAAAATATATTTCATAAATATTTCAATTGCCTTGTATAGACGAGAAGCAAGTTCAAAAGAGAATCATTATAAAAATTGCCGCAAATATATAATCGCACATAAATAACAATAAACATAGATTTAAAATATTTGAAAATTTTAAATTCAAAATATTTAAATAAAATTGATTTAATATTGATAATTCCCAGAGAGAAGTGAAGCAGAGCTATAATAGTGCATTTTCAACAACTATCTGGGGATATTTAATATTTTTACGAAAAACTTAAGGTTTGATTTTTTTAAAAATATATATATTATACAACATTATTCAAGAAGAACGGCCTCATCTGTATTAAAAAATAACTTTAAAAGACTTGTACAAATATTTAAACTTGGTTGTAAAAAATAGTAATTTAAATTTATATTCACTGTAAATATTTTTTTAACTACAAAGAAATGTAGTATTTAAATGGAACTTATAATGCACACACTCACACAAACAATCTATTATATTTATATAAGCAAATACATGTGAAAGCAAATATGCAGCTATGGTTGCAACTCTTCAAATATTTGCGTACAACAAACATTTTTGTTGGTGGATGGTCGTTTGATTACAAACAACCAAAAAAAAACCTGAAATCAGCAACAAATGTAACAACAAAAACAAATTCTTGCAAAACACCATGAATATGTGGTTAAATTATTTCGTTTTAACCAATAAATTGAGACAACATTATCCACACCAACAATTTTAAACGTACACATACAAAGTGAACCTTATTGTCACTGTCCACACACATACAAAGTGAACCTTATTGTCACTGTCCACACACATACGCTGGCATACATAAACTCAAAACCACTCTTTACCACCACAAACAACATGAGGACAGCAACACTGGTCCCCGACTGTAGTAGTGGTCATGGAGAGCACTGATGCCATGTTACGAATTTTTTATGTAAACCATTCAACTGTATGGACGACAATTGCAGTGAATACTCAATAAAATGTAAGGCTGATAAAAACACCAACAACAAAAATAATTTCCAACAGGTTTTGTCAAGGATGTTGTCATGTAGGCAATGGGGGAGAGGTTCAGAGGCGTAGTGCAGGTGTTATGTACATTTCCTTCACATATATAGAAGTTGTTTTCTTAAAATGAAGATTTAAACAAATATGGAGATGTGTTGGCTAAGAGAACTTTACTATATTGTAAAATATTTTTGTCCTATATACGTATAAAAAAATAAAAATATTTTATGCAAACCCAATAACAAAATGCCCCTTTCCAACTACCCCTGTTGTAAAACCCACCCATAACCCATCACACGCAAATCAAACACCATTACACATTTGCATGACAGGAAAAAAAGGTTGCGTGTTTTACAGTTATTTCAATAATTACAAAACCACAAATTTACTAAAGTATCAACCAACCAACCAGTCAAACGAGCAACTGTCCAACCAATAACAACTTCCCAACCACTGACCATTGGACTATGCCAACGACTACAATAAAATGGCAACTAGCCACCAGTAGTGAGTGGCTGGAGTTGGAGCAGTAGTAACAGCGACCATTATTGTAAATCAAAGGACGAACGTAATATAATAACAATGCCACAAAAACAAATCCTGTACAAAACCACAAGCAAACACAAACAGAATCGTATAAAACTTTATTACAACTGGCGATGCGGAGTTGGATGGAAGAGGTAGAAAATGTTGGAAAAATGTTTCCACTACAGTAGTGTATCGAAGAGAAGTTTTAGGTCCAAAATGAACTATAAAGGTGGATTATGTACATCAGAGAAATATTAAAAAATATGTTCTAAGGTGCCTATTTCTTAAGGACATACAATTTCTAATACATTTTTTCAATGTTCAATAAGTCATGGAAATTTCAAATTTTCATTTCATATTTTCCTAAGGTAACGACATATGTTTTAAAAAATAATAGTTCAAGGATCAAAATAATCTGATTATTTAATAATTTTTGAGAAAGCCCACGAGGCCTGGATTTTTTAAAAATATATTTATTAAAATGCCAACAAGGCGTGGATTTTTAAAAATATTTTTTCAAAGGGCCAAAATGGTGTGGCCTTGATAGAGATCAGTGGCGAGATCCGAAACTATAGTCTTCCCTGCCTTACGCCTTGGTGGAAAATTACATACTTTTCCCACTAATAAATAGTTGTTAATATAAAAACAACAAACTGTGATTCAGCCTGCCTATTTTGCAAAAACAAAATACAAATGGTATCCCACATTTTTAATTTTATGAAAATGGCATAAAGGTATGGAATTTTAAAAATAATTTTTAAAAAGCCTAGCAAGACTTGTTTTTTTTAAAATCCATGGCTATTATTAAAAAAAAAAATATATATTTTTTTAAGGTTTGTATTAAAACTATGTTTAAGAATTTCAAAGCTTGTATTTAAATAAATATTTTTTGGACCTTTAAAGAGTTTTTTTTAAAAATATAGTCCTGTATTTTAAACAATATTTTTTAAAAGTCTTATTTTTAAATATTTTTAAAAAAAATAATTATTTAAAAATATATTTTTAATACTAATAGAAAATATAAAGGAAAAATAAATAAATAAATATTTAAATATTGTTAAGGTCTCTTGTTCAATTATCACTATTCATCCCACTGTTAAAAGCTTTAAAAAATTATAAATAGTGTCACAACACACAAAAATATTCCAAAATTGTTGAAAAAGTTTTATTCCGGTATTTGATTTGTGTCTTTCTGTATTCATCTCTTCTTCTTGTTCATGCTATCATTTCAGTTCCATTGGATATTAAACCATGTCAGTCGGCGGCAACAATCACACAACATCAACTATTGCTACAAGCAAATGGCCAGCATACCCTCACGCCGCAACAGCAACACCATCACCACCAGCATCATTTACAAAATCCTCAACAGCAGCACAGCAACTCTTTAATGGTCATGAACGGAAATGAAAGAATGTTAACAACAACAGTAACATCGGCAAATACTTCCGACTCACCAGCCTCAAATTCAGCACCAACTACTGGAAATTCTTCGTCACAACAACAGCAACAACTTCAGCAGCAGCATCATCATCCTCATCTACGCCATCAACAATGTGCCTCCAACTCTGCCACCTCATCCTCATCGGCTGCAACAGTAGTGTCACAACTACAAAATGGCGGAGGCGGAGGAGGGCCTGGCCAGGAAACACTTAATGACAATATGACAAATAGTAACAACGGCTGTAACCAAAATGGCAGCAACAATACAACAAGTGGCCCCACAAGGACTGGGGATACAACGCTTGAGCAACAGCCAGCAACAACAACAATGACATCGTGTTCTACACTTGTCAACGGAAGTTGTAACAACCACAATGGCAATGTTGGTACTTCGTCGTCGGCGGCAGCAACAACAACATCGACGACAGTTGTCAACATCAATGGCAATTCACGAACAAATGATAACAAATCTTCGGCAAATCCCTGTGGTCCAGGACCACCACCACCGTCAGTGCAACACCAACAACAGCTACAACAGTTATCCTTGCAACAACAGCAGCATCAGCACCAACAGGCCTTAAATATTCTTCAGTGTTCAGCCAACCGTTTAACATTAACCGAATGCAATTTGAACAGTCTCAACAGCAGTAGCAACAACAACAACAACATCGCCAACATCAATTGTAGTGGAAGTCACAACAACATTGAGACAGCACTCGCTCTACAACAGCACTTGTTACAGCATCACCAGCAGCACCATCATCATCAATTGCAGAATGGTGACTGCCCCTCCTCCTGCTCCTCGTCTGCGTTGAGCGTAATTGATGCCCTGTGTCCGGGTGTGTCGTTGCCGTTGCTATCCTCCAACGCCTCCTCCTCGGCCACCGCATCCTGCTCCACACCGAATTCCAATTCATTGTCGCCTCTGGCCTGCGGCTATTGTTGCCAACCAATTTGTGATCGTTACATAATGCGTGTCGTCGACACTTCATTCCACGAAAGCTGCCTTAAATGTGCAACATGCTCGTTGCATTTGGTGCATTCCTGCTACAGTCGCGAGGGCAAACTCTATTGTCGCATCGACTATGAAAGGTATGAACGAATGAATTTTTGTGAAATAGGAATGAATGTTTGCACATTGCCTATGAGGAAACATACTCACAGACACACACACACACAGACGTCGACACATACACAAATGAATGAATGTCCACCGGGCAAATTGTTTGAGATGCCACTTGGCTACGTTGAACTTGAATTCCATTGCAAAAAGGGATTCTTTGAAAATTATCATGAATTTTCACGAAAGTCATTGACATTTGTAATTCGCAGTGGAGTTTGGAGGTTAATGAATTAATGTTTAGAAGCAAAAGATGGGTCTGAGTGATTCAATGTAAATAATGCATTCCTACTTAACTATCGCCAATTTATGAAAGTATGGGTAGAGCCAAAATGCGAATATGGGAGACCATCCCAATCATAAAAAGTTTTTAAATAATATTTTTGAATGACGGATTTTAAAGAAAATTTTTCAAGAATTAAAAAAATATATATTTTAAGGGCTTAAGGAAAATGCGTTTTTTATAAATATTTTTCTAGGACATAGATGAGAGTGGTAATTAAGGAACATTTGAGAAGTCCTAGTGTTTTACAATATTTATACCCATAGCCTTATGTCTAATGAGGATATATGGAAATTTTCAATTTTCTTTTAAAATTCCATTAAAAAAATGTGAAAAATTTTTTGCGAGGACATTTTCGTTTTTTGTTACATAGGTTAAAAAATATGCTCATTCGAAATTCGTTCGCGTTCATAAATTCGGATGCTGCCCTGAAACTTGGGTCAATATTAATCATTTTTGGTACGAAGATGTGATATACCATAAGAACCTAAAATACCAAAATACATCCAATCCCCCGAATATTGGGGGTACCGTTATATGGAGACTACGCTGAAACTTGGGTCAATATTAAGTATACCCTTCACCACACTGTGGTACAGGGTATTAAGTCTTTTTGCATATGTTTGTAACAGGCAAAAATAATCGTGATAGGCCCATGATTCCTTTTGAGAATACGCGTAGAATCCATTTCTGAGTCGATTTATGCATGTTCGTCCTTCCGTCCGTCCGTCTGTTGATGTTAAATTGTAAACAAAGCATTTATAATCTGAATGGTATGAGATTTGGTACAGCTCATTTATTTGACCCAAGGACGAACCCTATTGAAATTGGTTAAAATCGGTTCAGATTTATATATAGCTTCCATATATAATTTCGCCCGATTTTATGTAAATGGTGTACCAAAGTCCTATATATATCTTTCGATTTGCACGAAATTTGATATAGCCTACTGAATTAAGTCTATAATGATGTGTGGTAAGTTTCGTGAAAATTGGTTCCGATTTAGATATAGCTCCCATATATAGTTTCACCCGATTTTAGGTAAATGGTGCACCAAAGTCCTTGCAAATATTTTGATTTGATATAAGTTAATCTCTGGCAAGTTTCCTTGATATCGGTTCAGACTCTGTTAGGATACATATGTAGAATATACCCAAGGTTGTGAAGGGTATCATATAGTCGGCTCAGTCCGACATTACTACTTTCCTCAATATTAATAATTTTTGGAGCGGGGAAGTGCTATACAATGAGAACCCAAAATACCAAATTACAGCCAATTCGGTTGGAAAACCAGCCCAATATCCACAAAACACCGAATATTGGAGTACCTTTATATAGGGGCTACCCTGAAACTTGGGTCAATATTAATAATTTTTGGTACGGAGATGTGATTTATCATGATAACCCAAAATACTAAATTAAATCCAATTCGGTGGGATATCCAAAATCCCCAAAAACACCGAATATTGGGGGCTACACCAAAACTTTGGCCGATATATTTGCATCCAAACATCCTAGGAGTACTAGCAATGTCTGTGCAAAATTTCAAAACTCTATCTTAAATATCGTGATTTCAACAGACGGGCATTCAAGAACATTCTGCGGTGACTATTCCAAATTGTTGCAAACGGAATAAAAAATTTAATGTACAATTCACCTTATACTGGAGGGTATAAAAAGCCTATTTAATGACTTAAAGGTAATAGCAGATGTAAGGAATTTTACATAAGGACAATAGCAGCAGTATGGACTTTGGTATAAGATATATGTTTTCATAGAAGTTTGCAATGACTGAATTGTATAAAATATATATTTTTCAAGGACGTTAAGAAAACACGTTTTTTAATATTTTTTCAAAGATATTAACAAATATTTGTTAATAGCTTTAATAGGGTGTGGTTAAACGTCTTTTATAAACCGTGGATAATTTTTATAAATTTGTTTTACAAGTACATGTGTTTTTATTAGAAATATTTCTTTCAATGACCTTTGGTAGGACAAATTTGAGACTTGTAAGTACATTAAAAAAACGACCTGTAGAATTTGTATTTTTTAAATATTATTTATTTTTTTTAATTTTCAAGGACCTTCATGAAAAAATATTTTTAAGGATCTTTCTTTCACACATTTCCCCCCATGATTATCTTCAAAAAATAACAATATCTTCTTAAAAAAATAATTTATTAAAAAAAACGTAAATACTCTGTAATGAAATGAATTCCTCTTCGCTCCACATCAAATAACACTCGCATCTCTTCACACCCCCTTTAGACTTTTTCTGCGTAATCGTTGCCTTGGATGCGGTCACAAAATTGCCGCCGATGAACTGGTGATGAGGACACTCGAAAATGTTTTCCATTTGAAGTGTTTCGCCTGTGTGGTGTGCGGTGCCATACTCAAGAAGGGTGAGCAGTATGTCGTGAAACAGGGCCAATTGTTTTGTCGTTTCGACTATGAAAAAGAAGTGGAGATGTTGCAAGGATACGGTGAGTAGGAGCTACAGCTACTTTGGTAGCCTTCAATATACCCAAGCCACAACAAACCAATAAATAAAATAAAAATACTAGAATCTAAGGAAGATAAAAAAAACAACAAACAATATTGTAAGGAATGCGATATGGAAAGTATTTGATGGTTTGTTGTTGTTGCTTTGCTAGAAAATCTCAAGATAAGAAAATATTTTAAATGTTTTCTTTTTCGATACAGATTTCTATGGCGATGATTTGTTTGCACCCAAGCTAGATGGTCGCCGCGGTCCCAAAAGGCCACGCACCATACTCAATACCCAACAACGAAGAGCGTTTAAGGCTTCATTTGAAGTATCACCCAAACCCTGTCGCAAAGTTCGCGAAAATCTGGCCAAGGAGACAGGTTTAAGTTTAAGGATTGTACAGGTAACCACCACCCATGGTCTATGAAGATTTTTTTTAATAAAACAATATTATTATTTAATGAATTATTCTAATCTCCTCAGGTATGGTTTCAAAATCAACGGGCCAAGGTAAAGAAAATCCAAAAGAAAGCCAAATTGGATGGTAGCCATGCCAAGGGCAACAGTGACTCTCCAGATTCACAAGAGTCGGATAATAGCAATATGACCAAAATCAAAGATGAGGCACACAGCGACACCGAATCGTTGATGGATGTGCCGTATGGTACGGTATCGGCAACAGAGACCATGGCTAAGCTGAGGTCATGTATCAAAGATGAAAATGATGGCACATCCTTCAGTTGTATAGAAACCAATAAAGGTAAATTGAATGGAATTGCCTCTTATTCGTAATAATAATAATAATTTAATAAACTTTTTTTTAGAAAATTGCAATAAAACCAACGAACCCATACTCAACACAATACTGGGTTTAAGCTATTCAACATTCCAACAATTAATGGGGCCTTTTACACAAACGTCAATGATTAATCCCATCGATCGTTTGTACAGCATGCAAAATTCCTATTTTCGTCCGGATGAATTGGGTTATGGGGAGGCGGGACCTGGCGGCTTGGGTGGTGGTGGTGGAAGTAATGGTACTGGTGGACCCAGCAACATGGCTATGAGTAGTTTAGGCCAAAAAGATATTAGTGATTAAAGTAAAATTATCCATTTTTTATTATTTAGCTATTAAGTATTTTTTAAGATTGTCTTAAAGAGAAAATTATAAAAATAGAGGATGGAAAAAATCAAAATTTGTAAAAAGGAAATCAATTTTATGTTTGAAATAAAATTTAAATGTTGACAATTTAGAAAATATAAATGAAAATAAAATATAAGTAATTAATGCTGGTATTATTATATGTACTGAACCAAGTGTTTATAACACCTCATCTAAAGGAATCGGACTATGCTCAAAAAATGTTATTTGGATCGGTTATTTTGTTACATCTGTATATACATAGTAATGATTGACCAATTGATTGCTCTGTACCCAGTGTATACAGTACATTTAACAAATCATCTCCTGGAAGTGAGGCGAATGCTCCATCCTGAACATAATTCAGATCTGTTCGATAGGCTTTTTGATCTAGAGGTTCTTCCGTCCACATATCATCATTCCTCATTATGTGTTTGTTACATTTTTGATATATCCGCTTTGAGTTTTTTTTTTTTTTTTTTAATTGCGGTATGGAAGCTTTTTAAAGGCTTCAGATTAATAACCCACATACGTCGGTATATGAGCAGTGGCATAAATGATTATAAAGATGACATCTTCAATAAACCGATATAATCCGAATCTGCGTAGTGCCGCTATTATGCAAGTGTCATGTTCGGCCCGGCATTCAAAATATGTTAAATAATGGGGGGCTTCTAGTAGAAAACTCATGATATGACCTTGAATATACTGAAAAGGCCCCATAAAACGGGGATCTATATTGATAATTTTCGGTAGTGAAATTTGACAGGCAATGAGAAAACAATTTGTATCCAATTCGGTTGAAAAACGTTTCTAAAATGCTTGAAATGCCGAATATTGGGGAGTACACTCATATGGTGGTTGAAACTTGGGTCAATATTAATAATTTTTAGTACAAGGATGCATCAACGTCATCATTTCGGGAACCCAGTAGTAAAAAAGATGTGCTATACAATGAGAACCAAAATTTCTGAATTAATGCCAATAATCCTTCGAATTCGAAATAACCAATATGGGAAATATTTTACTGATTTACTGACATATAAGGATTTTACGGCGGATGACTCATCATCATCATTTGGCCGAATAAAAAGGTGCTGCGTTGAGCCGATGTTGGATTTGATTTGCGTTCGGAAACCCACACACTTAATTGTAATCCTAGAGGTGCTCCGTTGTGAACCAAGGGGAACTAGAGACCCTCATATAAAAATTTCTGAAATTGTTTTATTTTGTTTAAATATATTCTCCTTTGGTATACCAATATTCATCCACATTAAATATCACCTGACACTGTGAAACACTACCCTCAGACCCCATGTTTTTATAAAAAAAACACTCCTCGCATTGTTGACAGACAAGTTTGCAGGTGCAGTCAAAGGAAATTTGTTCCACTCAGTTGACATAAACAAGGGCAAATATTTTCCACATCATCTTTGTGTCGTCGTCACACATCGCAATTCGGCATGTCAGCATTGTTGGCTGTGTTAGCATCAGTTCCACTTCCCAAAATACAAAGAAGAAGAAAAACAACAACAACCCACACCGAAGGCGAGAGAGGACAGAAAATTAGAAATCATTTGCCTAATCGTTTGGCTACGTGTTTCTATGTTCTGTAGCTGTTTGGAATGGACTTGATGTTATGCGATTTCCACAGGGTAGATATTTTGTATTCCTAAACTGGGATAAAGCTAAACAACCACCTATGGACTGAGGACTGCCAAATACATATTTTCACGTAAAATTACACCATTGAAAACTTTGTCAAAAAAGGCATAAAACGTTTTACTTAAAAATGCGTAAAATCGTATTTCGTCATGCATTGTTCGAAAGGTAGTTGTCCTCGGCGACAATCGTAGTCCACTTTTGTGGAATTGACTAAGGCGAAGCTGAAAGCTGTCGCTTTAACGTTTGTTTGTGTCACATTGCAGCGGAAATAAAACAAAACAAAAACCTTTAGAGGAACATCAGCAACATTTGTGCCACTTGCACGAAGCAGGTTAGAAGGAGGAAATTACACGGAAAGAAATATTTGTGTTGAAAAATATTGAATATTTCAAAAATGTATGGAAAAGGACACCGGTATGGAAAATTACACCGGTCGAAATACAAACATCTGATGAGCTACACATGTCGACCTATCTAAAGTTCGGTCTATATAAAATCTGTAGAAGAAGACTAATTTATTGCATGTATAAAGTCAGCTGCCTATATATATATATACTTATAATACCTCTAGTTGTTCCTCTGCAGAGGATCTTCTCTGTCTTGAAGATCTGTAGAGGACATATTTCTATATAGTACTTTAAATGCTAAAATCTTAAAAATACCTAAATATGGCTTTATACGACCTGATGAAGGTATTCGATGTAGTTCTGTCTATATAAAATCTGTATATTTCCATCTGTAAGAACCATAATTTATTGCATGTATAAAGTCAGCTGCCTATATATATATATACTTATAATTTTTACCTCTAGTTGTTCCTCTGCACGAGGTGGATTGTTCTCTGTATTTTTAGAACACTTTCACTTCCGTCTTAAGAAGACCTGTCAAAAACCGTCAATAAATAAAAAATATATGCTATCTATATAAAATATTTAGTACATAGTGGAGTGGAAGGTCTTCTGTCTGTAACTGACTTTTAAATGTCGACTAACTAACGAAAACTTGTCAGAGACATTTTGTCTATAGAAGGTGTTCCTTTATAGAAAATAAGAAAAAAAGAAAAGTTTATACAAAACCTGATGAAACTCCGATATATAAAAAATATGAGATCTTCTGTACTATGCGCTCTTAATACGGAAGATTTGTTAAAAGCTGCTACTGTAGAAAAATCAATTCACAATAGAAAGAGGTCGTGCAGGACGATTGAAGACCTGCAGAAGGTCGTATATCTACTAAAGATCCATTTATCCCGTTTAAGAGTTAATGTCTTTCAAAGTTCTGTATAAAGTAGTTTGGGTGCAAAAGAAGGAAGTAGAAGGTCAAAATCCTATAAGAGCTATTCCAGCTATAGGGTTTCTTCTGCAGAAAACTCGTGGAAGGCCTTCAATATGTAGAAAATCTTTACCATGTTTCAACCCCACCCCTTAATGTCACTTGTTTGATGACTTTGAAACAAACAACAAACATAAATACTGCCCTTAGTTAACAATTTCTTTTTTTTACTCTTCCCCCCTTCACCACTCCATTCAAGTTGGCCATTGCGAAACAACAACACAACAACAAAAAACCAACTTGTCACGACACATGTTAGCCACCCTCAAAAAGCACGTAACAAACAATTTTCCAAAAAATTACCAAGGGTGATTTGTCACAATATGTGTCACATTAGCTACAGCAATTGTGCAATTCTTAACGGTATTAAAGCGGCAGCGATGGAATGACTGACAAGAAACTTAACACTTGGCTGTTCCGGTCGGTCGGCAAACGCCGGAAAACATATTGAAATAAATACTGATTTGCTAAAGACATTAAACGGTGAAGGGGATGGGGAAAGGGGAGGGATCGTTTAGCTTTTACACTTCCAATCAAACAATTTGAATAAGAATTTTAACAACAAAAAAATGGTGGGGATAATCTTGTATGACGAAGTTGTTATTTTTTTAGACATGTTAATGATACTACCAATGCATTTATGCTACAAGTTCAATAAAACTTTCAATTCAATACGCGTGTATCATAATTTGAAGGACTTTTCGTGTATGAGCTCTCTACATAATGACCTTAAGACCGTGGAGTATCCTCTGAATAGGTTACTACTATTGAAGTATCTTTTCCAGTTCTTCTGTAAAAAGCAGACCCTTTCAATGGAAAACATATCAAAGGTCTTCTGTGTGAGTCCTATAATATGTCTTCAGTCCATGATAGGATTAAGTAAGTACTATATCTAAAGGAGGACCATTATATCAATGGTTCTCCTTTACAGATAATTCAATAACAATTACACTGCCTATAGAAAATCCATTCAATAATCTTTTGTTTTTTGAAGTTGAATCTAAATGAAAAATGCTCGATGGTCATTCGTATACAGAAGACCCTTCGATGGTCGTAGAAAACCAAAAGGGATATTTTTAGAAAGTCATCTGAAGAGCTTTTTCACTGTGTATTGAACATGTTCTACCTATAGAAGACCTTTTGAGGTGTTATCAGTCAAATTGTCAACACGAACACTCTTACAGAGCTATAACTTTTTCAGGAAATTTTCCTATATTCGAGGTTTAGAATCGACTACAACTCGAATATAGGCTGATGATATTAGGTTGGGGAAAAAGAAATCCATTATTTTTATATGAACTCTAGGACTTTATTTAACGTGTTTCGGAATGTCCGATTTGGATCAAAATGCACCGTTTTGTTGTATGATTTGTTGTCATTTTAAACGTAACTTCAAAAAGCCTCTCTCACAGAGGTCCTGTTCTCTATTTGCAAGAAACTCTAATAATCGATTTTCACAACCCTCCTTAGATACCAATTTTTATCATTAAAGAAATTTTGCAATGCAAAAAATATATTATCCGCTTGGTGCCAAGACCGGACTGTATTGCGGATGCTTTAAAACTTCCCAACCAAGCTCCCAAAGTTTCTGGCTATTCACTGTAGATGTGAGTGGCCTAGCGTTGTCCTGGTGAAACAATTTTGATTTAATTCCAATCTACTCTAATTCTAGATAGTCCCTACAAAATTTAAATTGAAAATCGCAAGAACTCTTGAAGATATAGCCGATTTATTGTGTCAGCATCAAGTGACGGCAATATATTAACAGTTAAATCCATTTTTCTCAAAGCTTACGAATAGGAAGATAACGTGTTAAATCACAACCAATTGTGATCACCTCTTTAGGATAAAGCCAATTGGTGAAGATCTTCCTTATTTTTTAACTTAGTTTGTGGTCAAAAATAGGCGATTTTCCAAAAAATTGTTTTTCAAAGTTCCACCATTTTGTTAACACATAATCG